GCTCATGCTTGGTTCCTTATTGGCCGTGAAAATGGAGGCAACATGATCCTTCGAAACATCGATAAATTTCTACCAGACTACATGATATCACATCGCGGATCAGAGATGTTGGACAGCAGTGTGTTCAGGAGGATTAAGATCAGAGGTGTTGGACAGCAGAGTGTTCAGGAGGATCAAGATCAGAGGTGTTGGACAGCAGTGTGTTCAGGAGGATCAAGATCAGAGGTCTTGGACAGCAGTGTGTTCAGGAGGATTAAGATCAGAGGTGTTGGACAGCAGTGTGTTAAGGAGGATTAAGATCAGAGGTGTTGGACAGCAGACTGTTCAGGAGGATTAAGATCAGAGGTGTTGGACAGCATTGTGTTCAGGAGGATTAATGAACAGTATAATGAGGAAATTCATAATCTGCACTTCTTGCCGAAAGTTATTAAGTTATTAAATGAAGGTTGTTTTGATGGGCGTGTTATGTAGCATGCATGGGATAGATGCTAAATCGCAGTCTTATAGACGAGAGACTTAAGAGGAAGGGGCATATTGGGAAGCTTAGCCGCAGATAGGAGAATAATATTAAAATGGTTCTTAACGAAATAGGGCATGAATTCGTGAACTGGATTATTCTAGCTTAATTTACATACTGTCAACACTGTAATAAGCGTTTTGCTTCGGTAAATATGCGGACCTCCTTGCTTATTGAAGAAATATAATATTTGCTCCTTTTTCCGTCGGAAAATATGAGGGAAATGTTCCATTTATTTAGGGGGCCGAGCCATTAGGAGCTTGAAGATCCTCGGGTTCAGTTCCTGATGACTGGGGAAGTGTCGTTGTTTCTTCGGTTTCTCCCCTGCTACTTAGGAACTTTTGCTCCATAGTCACCTTTCAGGGCCCCCTGATGTGCGAGTATGCGCTGGTGCTGGCCAGGCAGCATGTTGGGGAGGTGGGGTCATCTCTGACCCGGCACTTGGCTGATCTCAGAGTAACGAAGCTTTATTTTGTAAATACTGTTACGGTTTAGAGTGTGACTATAGACGGGGTTTAGTTTGGTGGCTCGATTTGTTGACCACTTCACCACACGACTCGGAACTACAAGTAATCCCCACACTTTAAAAATTAGATCTTCTGCAGCATGCAGTGTCTTCACTAGTCATTTACTGGTAACGGCTTCAAACAGTGGAGATTATTCAGTTTCCGCGCGCACACCATTCCCCGCTGGTCCCTGTCTTAAAACTGAACTGGGTCTCAAAGTCGAATTCAAAGTCACATTGCGACTGACGGTCAGTTATTAAGTCTTGGTGTCGAGCCCCATCTGGAGCTCATCAGCAGATATTTATTACTGTTCGACAGTTACGGTATTGCTTTTGTGGGGCCCCCACACTGACAAGAGGACGGGTCTGTCTTTTGTACACGCTGCTGGCCCTTGTCAGCAGTCTTTCTCGGGTTTGAGTCCCTTGGGACTCGCGTCCGTATTTTACTGTCTCAGATTTGAGCCTTTCCTTTTCGTCACCTCCCACGACTTGCTGGGTCACGGTGGAGGTATTGGACCCCGCCTCCACACGGGTTGAACTGGGTCTAATCTTGTCCCTTGCGTGTAACATCTCGGTACGGACCACGTAGAAAGCATCTCTCCATTGTTGAAGTCCAGATGTTGCGTTGTTAAGAATCTGCTGCCTAGCAGTGGAACGTGTTTACAGAGTCGTTGCCCAGAAACGGGTCTGGTATGTCCGCCCATTTCGCCTCACCGCGTGGCAACAGCTCTACACGCTACAATATGAGAGTCTTTATGTAGTATTAAAAGGCATAGAGACGAACTTCTGGGAACCTTCTGCTGTTCACACTGGCCGCGCGGTTTGAAGCATGGATGTCTGTCCGCGTTTCTTTTGCGTTTGTGCTGTCCTGCTTGCGACGGGCTGATCACCTTACTAAGATGTCCTACCGGCTGTACGTGAAGATCCATAGTTCCAGATTAATGACGAACTTCATGGAGCCGAGTCCTTCTTGAGAAGCAGCTAGTTGTGCAATTACTCAATAATTTCCGCAACATTTTACGGAACCCGAAGGTTCATTACCGTGATATATTGGGTTTCTGGACTTTATCCATCGTCCTAGTTTTTAAGATAACAAAAACACGACGTTTCGGAAACGTCGTGTTTTTGTTATCTTAAAAACTAGGACGATGGATAAAGTCCAGAAACCCAATATATCAGTGTGTTATACACCATCGTCAGAATCCTATAGTAACTACTTGTTCATTACCGTGTTCACTGGTCCCTATCCTGAGCCAGATCAGTCTAGTCCACGGTTCCAGATTAATTCTGATGGGGAGCAGGCCAGAGGATCTATTACGAAAAGTAGTATAAGAAGACGAAACCTCATTGCAGGAGAATGAGAGAGCGTGTTATGAGGTAACTGCGTATCTTGTCACTTCTTAACACCAGTAAACTCGGGGTAGTTTTGCCACAGTTTCTGAGCGATTCCTGTGCATGAAAAGCTCCCAGATTTGACTAACAGATAGCGAGACTGCCCACGTTGTTGAAGGAACTGTTTGAGGAAACTATTTTCTGAAAAGTTGAAACAAACCACTGATTTACTCATATATTGTTGCATTTGTCTGCAGTTAGTAAAATATTCTCTGTATGTCTCAGTTGTCATGATCATAAAACGCGTGACAGGCTGCGAGGTATATTTCTGTGTCGCGACAGGATATTTTGTACAGTCTGAAGTCTGTGATGGGTAGGCCCTTAGCTTCTAAATCTGATTTCTTAACAGTTCTTCGTTCATAGTTGAGCGACGTCTACAAACTGCGAATATTTTCTAGAGTGTATTTACTGGTTGGCATTTATAATGAAGATGCAGTGCGTTTTCTGCGAGGTAGGAACCGAATTTGTACGTATTATTTATCAGAACTTAGGCCCTAGTACACTACATGGAACTCAGACACCTTGAGAAGCTGATAGTCGTTCAGCTAATCAAGTATTTCCCTGTGTTTTGTGGAACCCGAAAGCTTATTACCGTACTCACAAGAGCCTTCCACTGGATCTTATTTCGAGCCACATGAATCCAATCAGTCACACTGATGAGTAGAGTGGCTGCAGTCAGCTGTGATATTATTAAAATGCACTTCATTTCGCGTAGAGAGCTCGTCTGTGTATCGTGTGATTCCCAGAATAAACAGTGATTGTTTCTCTGAACCAGATTAATCTGTTGGTATTTATAATGGAGTTGCAACTTATTTTCTGTGAGGCAGGAATTGAGTTTTTAAGTACTATTCCGACGATCTTCAAATTCCAAAGCTCAAAGTCAAGAATAATTAAGTAAGTTCTGTAAAATTGTGGCCCTTCCGCGTTATTAATTCCTATAAAGTAAACGTTAAAGAATAGTTCGGGCCGGTCACGGTAGCCGAGCGGTCTAAGGCATGTACTGTCTTCGCTCGCTTGAAAACCGGGATCGTCGGTTCGAATCCCACTCAGGGCATGGATGTTTAGTTTGTGTGTGTGCGTTTTCTGTGTTTGTGTACAGGTAGAGGCCTTGCGACGAGCTGATCACCCGCCTAAGGAGTCCTACCGAATGTGTAACATCTAGAAAAACCGAAGTGAACGGAGAAGTTCATGGAGGTAGGCCTAGGCCCACTGGGGCTGTAGAGCCAAGGGGGGGGGGCGAAGAATAGATCACTTTATTGGTGAGTCTGTTGGATGTTATGAATGCTAATGTTACCTCTCTGTTATACAGGAATAAGTTAGAGTTTGAATCCATTAATCTTGCGTTTGTCCCCTCCACCACATAAGCTGGCGATTTCACCCAATCTCTTGCAACTTGTATCCCAGTTCAGACCCATTCACCTTGAGATTCATTTTAACATCTGTACATAGACACATGAGGGAGCCGGGATAGGGCAGTCGGTATAGCGACTGGCTACGGGCCAGTCGAGTCCCGGTAGGGTTATGAAATTTCTTCAAGTCGTCCAGACCGGCTCTGGGGCCCACCTAGCCTCCTATCCAATGGGTACCGGGCGTAAAGCGGCCAGGCCTTGAAGTTGACCACTCCCTCCAACTAGTACCGAGGTCAAGGAAATGTGGATCTATTCATCCACTCCCCCATACGCTACATGGCGTAATGCTTAATCAGTTAAGGATAGGGACAACATTACCTCACATAGACACTTATGGGAACGCGATAGTGTATTTAGTTGAGGCACCATGCTACAAGCTGGAAGGTCGCGGGTTCGATTCACGATGTCATTGGAGTTTATATTGATTTAATCCTTCCAGCGGCAATGTAGTCCTGGGGTCGACTCAACCTCGAACAGAAATGAGTACCAGGAATCTTCTTGGGTGGGGGGGCAAAGGGCGGTCGGCACGTAAGACTGACAGCACCACCGCCATCTGTGAGGCGATTGTCTGGAAGATTTGGGAGCCTCGACGTCTCACAACCCTATGGACCTTCACGACCTGTTACAGGAGTAGCTTTACCTTTTATTTATCATTTTTACATAGACATGAGTTGCGGGAGGGAACAGAGGAAGGAAATGCAGTAAATATTGGTAACAAAAATTAGGAATAAAATGTATATTCTATCAGGAATACTGTATCCCGATCAGTAGTAATCGCGTCAAATGGCATATACGTAATTCGTAAGCCCGCACTTCCGTAATTGTAAAACTGTCCCTTCACCCCGCCTTGGCCATGGAAAATATCCCTACTAGACAGCACCGCCGTGCGTCGGCGAACCTATCTGCAGCCATGAGCGCGCTTCGTTCCACGGGGCTGCGAGTTTGTTTTGCTGGACGAGTGGGGGCTGGAGGGGGTCTAGTCTAGTGTCATCAAAAGCGTGAGAATATACCCCCTCGCTCGCTATCAGACGGGAATCCTGGTGTAAACAGTCCGTAACTTTACTCAACCAATGAGCACAGATATGACACGCCCATGGACCAATGAGAGAGTGTGTAAGTGGGGGGAGACGTACAAGAAGGGAGAATGTAGTATTTTTAAAACCAAGTGGCTTCAACAGGGATGGAAGCTGGAGAGTTGCATGCGATGTATGGAGGTAGAAAGTAGTTGGGTCCTATGGTCGTGTGTAGTAACGTGACGTTTCCATGAGAACCTTCCAGGATGGATATCCCTCTTGCCACAAGCCCGGACAGTTTTGCAGATCCCATGTCTTCTCCCGCCAGTGATTCCAGTTGTTCTCGCGGAAGGCTCGAATTGGATATGAACGCAGTTCATGATTTAGCGACCTCAGCGACATCTGTTAGCAATTATTGTGGCGGTACTACGACAGTGACATCTCTAAATAAACATCATCAGAATATGGTCACCGAGTTTATGTCTAATAATGTAAATAAGAGAGCTTTGTCTTTCTCTCAAGATCAGATCGCTTGTATCTGCGAGACTCAACAGCAGGCAGGGAATTTGGAGCGTCTGTCCAGGTTCCTGGAAACGTTGTCACCCAAAGAATTGCTGCGCGGCAACGAGGCCGTGCTTCGCGCCAGGGCAGCGGTCGCCTATCACAGCGGTGCCTACCACGAGCTCTACGCTATACTCGAGTCTCATAACTACGATATTCGTTACCACGCGGAGCTGCAGCAGATGTGGTTCAAGGCGCACTACAAGGAGCAGGAGAAGACGCGCGGGAGAGCACTGGGCGCTGTGGACAAATACCGGCTGCGCAAGAAGTACCCCTTACCAAAGACAATATGGGATGGCGAGGAAACGGTCTACTGCTTCAAAGAGAAATCAAGGAACGCTCTGAAGGAATGTTACCATCGCAACCGATATCCCACACCCGACGAGAAAAGGAATTTGGCGAAGAAAACGGGACTGACACTAACTCAAGTTAGCAACTGGTTCAAGAACAGGAGACAGAGGGACAGGACGCCACAGCCGAGGGGGTAAGTTTATAGTTAAAAACTATCCAAGTAATTCTTGGCATGAGGGAGAAATTGTTGAAATGTTCAGTGTTAAGTCTTCGTGTGCGGATATCGAAGCAGGATTGTGTGACAGTTTGTTGGGTTTATTTTAATTCTGTCTTCCCTGAATATCTGGATCCCACCCAAAGCCCTATCCACTAGGTATCGGGTGGGGGGGCTCTTTAGCCATTGTTAATTTTTTGTTTTTGTGATGCTGGTGCTATCTTGATCAGAGTTTCCCAAACTCGTAGTCCGGGGACCACGAATAGTCCATGACAAAATTTCAGCTGGTAAGCTGCAGTCTTCAAGGTCTTCAAATATGTGATTTGCGTAATCAAATCTTTAAGTTTGAAAGGGATGGGAATGTAGCTGTTGAACCAAAAGCACTCAAATTCCATTCGAAATTCATATAGTCCGTGGGCTGATCCAGAATATATAGGAGGAAAACCACGCAAAATTGAGTCAGGGTAGGTCGTGCTCCAGCCAATATTGGAATCACTACCCGAATGTCAGAGAGGTACTAGCAGAGCAGCCTGTTAGGTGCCGAGGTTAAAAAAATATGGGGTTGTGTGCTTACCCACCGTACGTCAGCATGGCGAGGTGATCAGTAAGCACAGCGACTATTTTATATTTTGCGTTTGTTCTGCCGTATTTCGTAACATTTCTTTTATGGTGAGGAGTTAGTCCCACGCCCAGCCCCCAAGCTGCAGGGCTGCCCCTTTTCAGCTGTCAGCGACCACCGCGTGACCACTAAGAAGACCTAGACGGATCATATGAAAATGGATCTAAGAGAAATAGGATGGGGTGGTATGGACTGGGTTCATCTGGCGCAGGATAGGGACAAGTGACGGGCTCTGTGAACACGGTAAGAACATTCAGGTTCCATAGAATGTTGTCAAATCTCTAAGTAAATAGCTGAGAGACCGTTGGCTGCTCAAAAGTGACTCAGCTCCGTGGAGTCAGCCAGTAATTCAGTTAGTTGTCCTATGCAATAAGGGTAAGGGGNTCAACCTCTAACGGAAACTAGTACCAGGAATATTCCTGGACCGTAAAGGGCGTCCGACTCGTAAGCCTGACATCCTTACCGCCATCTGTGAGCTGATTGTCTAGAAAATATGGGAGCCTCGACGTCTCGCAGCCTTATGGTCCGTCACGGCCTGTTAAGAGGGATAGCTTTACTTTTGTATTATCCAGTGGGTAATGGGTGGTCATTCAGCGGGGAGTAAAGCAGCCGAGGCGTGAAGTTGAGAGCCTTCAGTGTATCTAGTGCCGGCTTCAAGAATGGTGGAGCTATACCTCCGCCCCCCTACGTCTTCATGGTACGATGCCTAATTAAGCAGAAGGACAAATTGACGTGATGTAATGATTAAGATATTGAGGCGTGTGAGAGCCCCGAGCACCAGGAACGAAACTTCGTATGTCCCATGTTCTGATGTAGTTGACGTGGACGTTCCGACTTTCCGCCCGTTCAACGGAACGCATTGATCCCGAAACGACTCGAGAACCGCTAAACGAATTTTCATGAAAATTGACATTTGAGTGTTTGGCGAAAACTTGCGATTAGGTCCCAGTTTTGACTGGAATCCGACGACAGCATGGACGCTTTTCATGAAGACCTGCCTGTGTTTCATCGCGCATTTGGATCAGAACCCGCTCATGACTCCGCGAATATTTGTTAGAGCGAACAGCCTCTCGGACAAAGGTAGAAAAGAACGAAACGTAAATTTCATACCCAGTACAGTTTCTCCGCTTCGGGATTTCTGACGTAACGACGCGCCAGTGTTACCACCTTCTCTACAAATTAATCAGAAAATTATGTGTCAGTATCTGCTACACGTAGCATTGTCCCGGCGTAATGTATGTGTATGTAGTAATGTTAATCTTAACGTTATTAGTATGAAGTGATGGAACTGTTAGGAAATCATTTCTTTGCAACGTGAATAGTCGCCTTTTTGCGAAATTTTGAAGACTTGTTTTTTTTTTTTTTTGGAAAATTGAAGATTAAAAAATGTATAAGCCCGAGATAGCGCAGACTGTATAGCGACTGGCTATGGGCTGAACGACCAAGGGGTTGGAGTTCGAGTCCTGGTAGGGTCAAGAATTTTCTCCATGTCGTCCAGACCGGCTCTCGGGCCTACCCAGCTTTCCAAGCAATGGGTACCGGGGGCTTTTGCTCCGAGGTAAAGCGACCGGGGTGTGCTGTTGATCACACACCAGTACAGAGGTCAAGCAAACTTGGATCCATACATCCACTCCCCCGTACGTCTTCATGGCGTAGCGCTTAATTAGTTAAGCACTGGAACACCTTTACTTTTTTAAGCCTGAATATGGGGCGACTCCCGGTTTGTCCAATGATGATAACGGAAAAATGGAGTTTTTGACAAAGTTGAATATCTTAATAACTCTATATATCTGCTAATACGGTATAAAGAAAAAGAGCCAGAATAGCGCAGTCAGTATAGTGACTGGCTGCTGGTTGGGCGGGCTGACCACTCACCTCAACTAGTGCCGAGGTCAAGAAAACGTGGGTCTATACATCCACTCCCCCATACGTCTTCATGACATAGTGCTTAATTAGCTAAACACAGGGACAGCTTTGCCTTTTACCTTTACTCTATATCAAAAACTACAACTAAAACAGTCGTTTTTTTGTTTTTCTAAACCATCAAGCCCAGAGAAGTATTACTAGAACGAATGGCTCTGGAGCAATAGGCAAAAAACATTTTTGAGGGGCCCCACAATTTTTGTGGGAGGTTTTCAAGTATCTCTTCCCTCTACCAGCTTGTCAAGTTTGGTCGAAATATATGCAGCGGTGCCGAAGTGTATATAGAACAGGCACAACATTTGTGATTTATTGCAGTCAGCACGAGCCAAAGGAACGTGAAATCGACGTTCGATTCCCGGCAGGCGTCTTCTTCCGAGCGTCCATTGCTCTGTGGTAAAGCGACCGGGGTGTGAAAATGACGTCAGTCTAATGCCGATGTTAAGAAAGGGGAAGCTGTTTCCTCCACTCCTCCATACATCATGGCGCGCTTCTTAAAAGCTAACTTACTTAGCTTATTTATGAACTTTTCAGAATATTACAGGCAAAATTATTACAAGCAAAACAAAGTATTGTCACGTGTATGAGCATGACTGGCGACGAGGGTTTGTAAAAGCACAACTTGTAATTCCACGTAATTATAGCACCATTGCAAATTTTCACACTTTACAGATCACGCTGTCTTTTCCAGTAGTTGTTTGTTAACGGCTTCTAACAATGGCTATTCATCTGCTTCCGGGCTCAAATCCTCACAGAACGGCGGCTCCCTTCCAGCTGCCTAGTCCTGCGCTTGTCCTTGTAACCTGTCTTCACGGACCACCGTAGGAAACATCGTTTCCAACAGTACCTCCACTGTTATCGCACTGTTACCGGGCGAACCACTTTGCCTGTGATCGTTGTCTAGTAACGGCTCTACACGCTACAGTATCGAGAAAATTATTGACATCTTGTAGGCCTGTGGCTAGACAGTCGGTGCTGTCCAAGGACTCCGGTTTTCCCGGTTTCGGAATGTTCCTTTGTGGTCACTTGGTAAGAGTCCTTAAACTAAGGATCGGGATTCCCGCGACAGCGTAGGTCCTCCTGAAGGAGTGTTATGCAGTTTATTTGCGAACCGTGACGCACTGCCACGGTGTACCACGTATCGACGTTTGGAGTAGAAGTGAAGATCTGACACAGTGCATTGTACTCCAGATGGGCTGGACATGTAGCATGCATGCACGCACTGGAAGGAGGTATTTGGGTAGGAAAACCAAAAGGCCCGCTTGGAAGACATGGATGCGACAATAATGTTAGATGAATCTTGGTTTATTAGGATGAGGGATGGTGTTGCGATTGCTCCAGCTCAAGACAGGGACCAGTCTGTTGTGAACACAGGTATGAACTTCCGGATCCCCTAAACTGATGAGAATGTCTTCAACAAGTGAGCAAATATTACCTCATGAAGGATTCAGCCTCATGGATTTAACTAGTATATTGAGTTTCATGTAACAATTTGCAGATAATGTGAAATAGTGTTGGATTTGGTGATCCCACAGCGGTAGCTATGAAGTTCGACGTTTCGAAGGAATATGTTGCGTCCATCATCACGGTCGAAGAGTAAACCTAGTAACCAGAAAGAAACTTGTAGGAAACAGGGCGAACCACAAATGGGAAAACTATTTCCCGCTCTGTTTGATATTTGTTTCATGTTGGGTATACTCTTCGACCCTGAAGATGGAGGTACTACTTTCCTCCGAAACGTCGGTGGTCTACCGGAGTACTTGGCGTCACATCCCACAGAACTGTGGCACTTAAAAAAGGGTAAAGTCCCAGTGCTTAACTAATTAAGAACTGCGCCCTGAAGGCGTATGGGGGAGTGGAAGTATAGATCCACATTTTCTTGACCTCGACACTAGTTGGAATTGAGTGGTCGGTTTCACGCCTCGGTCTCTTTACCCCCGGGGAAAGAGTTCCGGTACCCATTGGATAGGAGGTTGAGTGGACCCTAGAGCCGGTCTGGACCCTACCGGGGCTCGAACTGCGACTCCGTCGCTATACCGACTACGCTATCCCGGCTCCCAATTGTGGGGAATTTCCATGTGAAATTATTTATATCTGAACTTGAAGCGTTGTGTTCTCCGTGACGTGACAGAAGCTCGACAGCGACCAGCTCTGTAGGTTGCCATTCCTAGATGACTTTGACCTAAGAAAATTGAAGTCCTGCGGAGTGACCGTTCAATTCCAGATGTTGCCTGGGCAACCGCCTCTGCTGGTTCGCTGTTCCTTTGTCGGTACAAGAAACACTCGACTGCTGTCACGGTCACTTCCATAGACACAAGTACAGGTTGTTTCGAAAGATTAACTACCGCAGCCCTTCTGGAAATTTCCGCTGTGTTAAGCACGGCGCAATGAAGGCGCAGAGATAGTGAAGGTATCGCTATATGCATTATAGTGAGCCGTT